AAATAAATAAATAAATAAATAAATAAATAAATAAATAAATAATTTGGACTGGAGCTCATTTCCCTATACGTCATACGATTCCCAGGAAATATATTGTACATGACCACTCCACAAGCAGTCCAGATTGTGATCTATTTGCCCATGTGATCACTCTGTCAATCTCAAAATAGATTGCAGACCTAGTTGAAGTTGACCAGGTCTGAATCAGTCTGAAAAGAATAGTTCAGTTCTGAAGAACCAAATGCTTTTCTGAAACACCAAATCAGGACTCATCTAGAGACCCTACTGCTTAACTATTTTTTCAACCTTTTCAGCCTTGGGCAGGGGGTTGGAAACTGTGGTTTGTTCATTTCCATATACTGTACATAAAGCAATTGTTATTAGCAATATATCACTACCAACAACAATTTCCTAACTATTCCATACAGATTTCAGCACTTCTAGGAGAAAATATTTCTACCATATTCTAGAAAACAGGGCATTCTAAACTTTAATATTTTGCCTTATTAGCTAATCCACTAGGGCAAGTGGGGTGCTGCCATCCTAATTCTGCAGCTCCCTCACCTGAAACAGAGTTCCTCTTTGCGTGTGTACAATACAAATACTTCCCTGTATCTCTTTACATGTGTGCTTACGTGTGTGCGCTCTGTCAACTGTCAGTCACTACGTCTTCTACCCCACTAACTGCCATAATCCTACAAATTCTACTGTATATACAATTTTTCCCAGTCTTCCATTTCAGATTCATAGGTCTTCAATCCTTGTCTGTAACCACTGTTTCTAAACTTGGCTTAATATATCTGGAATAAGCAAAACAACAGGCTGGACTAAGTCGACTATTATCAACCCTACTGGATGAGACCCCCCCCCCAAAGATTGAACAGAAGAGGTATTTTTCAATATTGCCATTTTAACAGCTGTTATAGTTTGTTCTTTCAAACAGTCTTTGGAAACCTCAGCTGCTCCACAATTAAGGTTTTAGGATGTTGAGGATGCTTGATTAAAGGATTATACTGCACTTATCCCCCACTATAAAATGTCCTGTCTGAATTGTAAGCTATTACAAATGAACCACTGAAATGAGTAAACTACTGGAATTCAGTCAAAATCTATTGCGCTATCTTTGTAAGACCTTTATTATCATATTTTTTCTTCAATGTTGTATCTCCCCCATGTAGTTTTGTATAAGGCAGATACAAATTGGTAAACACTGTAAAAATTATTCTTAAAGAAATGAAACAACTTTTTTTAAAAACCCGATCTACAAAAGTAAGTAGCACTGTAATAAAAATAAATATCTGAGCAAAAAACAATAATAATTATGGACAATTCATTAATAAGGTTTTGAAGACAAACATCAACACACACACACACACACACACACACACACACACACACACACAAATGTATTATATTCATTATTCTAATATCTCAAGCTCTTCAAATTGTGTCTGAACATTATTATGTCCTGGATCCAGTGTTTCCTCCATTCAGCATGCTCTGATTGGCAGAATGTTGGCTCCGCCTGCACTTGTCACTGAGCAGAGCTCCTTTACCCTCCCCTCAGGATAGCAGGAGATGCACTATTCTTGTAGTTACCCGGGGGAGGGGGAAGCATCCTTAAAAGGATGCTCCCCCATGTGCTCAGCCTCTTTCGAGGTTTGCATTCCCTGGCAGAGGCTATGTTCAGAGCTACAGAGGGTGTTTTTTTTTTATTTTTTTGTTTTTGTTTTTTTGTTTTTTGCTGCGTAGCAGCTAACAGCGTCAAGGGAGCTAGCTGTGTGGAGGTTCATCGGTTGGAGTGTAGTGTCGGGGATCAGCCTTGATCTTCGTCGGAGACTGCTTACAGCCATTTCACTTTTTTTAAAAAAAAGAAAGAAAGAAAAAAGCAGAAGGAATTGGAGAACAAGAAATCTCAAGGGATTTCCTTTGTTTATATATATATCTATATATCTACACTGTATCTATATCTGTATACATTTGTAGTGATAGGTATGAGGCTTCCCTCTTTCAGGCAGCAACACTTCTGAAAAAATTTTTTGGAGCATTTCATATTAGTGAGGTTGTGGCAGCTAGCAAGCATGACACATCATAAATGGAGTTACAACTTGCAGATGTCACAATGGGCAAAGACAGGCTATAACTGCATATCTGGAGATCTAAAAGAGATCAATTAGGGAAAGGAGGCTTTATCTCACTAGGGACTTGCTCCATTTTAGAAATATGCCCAGTTAGGGCACTAGAGGATTACCTTAAGAAAAGGGGGGAATATCAGGGCTGCTTATTTTGTCATAGTGATGGCACCCCACTGACAAAATACCAATTTTGGAAGGCAACTGGAGCTGCTTTGGAACAAGTGGGTTTGGCTGGATGGCGCTTTGGAACTCACTCATTTTGCATTGGGGCAACATCTACTGCCACCATGCTAGGTTATGGCCCAGAGGAGACCTCCCATAGATACAAACTTTACATGAGGGACCTGCCACAGCTGTAGGCTGCTGTGGGGCTCTTTGTCTCTTTCTTTCAGCTGCAGAGCAACCCAAAGGGCAATTAAGGATCCTGTTGCTGGGTCACAGTTCCATTCACTGGGTGGCAGATTAGGCCGCCAGGACTGCGCTTGCATGCCGGGGGGGGCTTGATATTTTGCAAACCAGGGTCATGCTGTCTTAGGGGCAGCACGACAACAGGGTGTGGGACTCACCTGTATAGGTTGGTGAGGGGGTCCTGTGAGACCTTCAGCACCAAACCTGATACCACACTACCGCAGGACCCTGGTTTCTAAGCCATAAGTTATAGCGTGCTGATTTAATAAAGTGTGGCCCTATTTATACCCATGACCTTTGTCTTGCATCATTATTCCAGAGTGGGAGGGCAAAGGTTAAGAGGCTTTTTAATGATCCTATTTCTCAAATTTTCTCCCTCTGCAACCCCCAGTGCCACTTCCTATATTGTTTCAGAATTATTACCTGCTTCTAGAGAGAGAGAGTTCTTGAGGGCATGGGGATCTTCCAAGGATAGGGGAAAATTTGGTTAATATTGTATCTTTCCCCCATTCTGATTCAGTGGAAGTGTTCCACAGGATCAGAAGCCTTCCACAGTCAGAATACATTTTCCCATTCATGGCAGGCAGCTTCTGGATACAACCATATAAACAGCTATACATTAGGAAACAGAACTTCTATAAACAACAGCAAAAACAAAATTCTTTTAAGCCTAGCTACAGAGTTCAACACGAGGTGGAAACGTCCGAAATGAAATCTCTTTTTCAGTTACTTACCTATCATGGTAAGTGGTAATAGCAATGCTGGGAAGGGTGAGTAAAGGCAAAGTTGTGGGTCTAGAAATGTTCTCTCTGTCTGGTGTTCTGGCACTTTCACTCTGTCTTTGAGACAGTGGTGGTAACAGTAAATTACCAGAACAGCATCTTCTTCCTCTCCAAAGATCTATACCAAGGGTATTGCTAGATGCACTGTAGGACTTGCTGAGGCCACCTTCTAAGTAATCTTTATCATTCTGTGAAAGCAAATAGAAATTTTACTTACAATAGGACACATTTCATAAAATTATGCTACATACAAACAATATAAATCGTTCAGTTTAAGTAAAACAAGTCTAGAAAGATATATTTATAGTATCAGTCAGTAGTTTTGGTATCTGGCTGTGGAGCCAGAGATTGGAAGTTTGATTCCACTCTGTACCTCTTCGACAGGGGCTGGACTTCATGATTCATTGGCTCCCTTCTAGCTCTGCAGTTCTAAGTTTATTAAGACTAAGATTGTAAATGCAACAGTGAAAATACATACATTCTGAAAATGAGTTGGGGGGAAATCATAAAATGATGACAAATGGCTCAATGAAAACCTTCACCAAGTGTGCAGTGACTATAAAAGGAAATAAAAATGAAACTGCTAAAATAATACCTTCATAAAAATGTATAGGACCACATTTGGAATACAGTTCTGCTCATTGTACCACAAGAAGAATATTGTTGAGTTGGAAAAAGTGCAGGATTAGCAAAGGAAAGCACTACCAAAATTATCAAAGGGATATAGCTATTCTCTAGCAATGAAGGTGTCGCGACTGCCACCTCCTTCTACGTCACCACAAGAGATGACAGGTCACGATCCTTCACACACACACACAGTACTTCGCTGCCACCAACCACACATAAACCTGACACTTCAGACTTATTGTGGATTTCAAAATAAAATGATAATTTATTGTATACAGAAATAAAATGGCAATCACTGAATAAAAGAATCACTTATCATACTATATTAACAGACCTTCACCCTGCACAGTTCTTAGTTACTTAACACACAGTTACCTAACCTATATCTAACCCTGTCACTCTCCCACTCTCTAATTCCCCAACCACAACCCACAACAACCTCCTCCCTCCTTGTACACCCCCCTTATATACACAAGCTCCACCCCTATAAGACCCACCTCCTGCCTTGCCATAGGCCAGGAAACTCCAGCCTTAGCCAAGACAGGCAGGTGACGTCATGGCAGTATTCTCTAGCAATGAAGGATTAAAATGTTTACAGTTTTTAGCTTAGAGGAAAGATGGAGGTGTTGATAGAGATCTATAAAACAATGCATAGTGTGGACACAGTGGATAAGGAAGAACCCATTTTTCTCTCTGTATATCACAATGCTATAATTCTAGAAGAGCACTTACTTTTGCAGGTGGAAAGATAAAGTTTCTGGGGAAAACAATTTTGCATAGTATCAACAAAAGGAAAACACAGTGATCCATGCATAACCACGGTCCTCCAAATAATCAGTTTTGCACACACAGCACTCAGTTTTTACATGAGGATTGCTGGTGCCATTTATGTTTGCAATATATACATTAATGTATTCTGCCTTGCTGTGGTCTCTGATCAAACAGGTTAATCAGAATTCTTAAAAAATTCAAAAGCCAGAACATTTCTTAGATCACAGACTCAGCCAGTACCTGGATATCTTGGGGAAAATCTTAAAATCTGTTGTCTGTAAAAGATTCCACCCACCACAAAATAGTAGCTGAAATATAACAAGAAGTGCTGCAGCACTTTATAAACTAAAAATACCAACTAGGAGCAGCTTCTCACCAATGTGACACATTCTTGAAGCTATTAACCTTCCTCAGCTTTTCTGCTTGACATTTTGAAATTGCTGAAGTCTATACAAAAAAATAAAACCACAGCAGAATGTAGCAGCCTAGTTAAATAACTTTGATTGCATGACCACATCCATTATACCAGTCTGGAAGAGAGCCAAGAAAAAGAAGACCAATTTATTAAGCAGAGCCTGTGAAATTCACACATATGTTTATATATATATAAATGAGGAAATGTTCTTTGAATACTTGGGAGAGGGAATCCTACTTTCCTCAAATGTAACTTCCTTATTTTCCTAACAAAATAGATAATGACAGATATTTCTAAACCAATCTTCCCCAGCAATGTCCAAATGTTATAGAATATATCTCCCATAATTCTTTGATATTAGTCATGTTGGCTGTAGCTGCTGGAAATTGTAGTCAGAGGGCACCCAGTTGGCAAAAGCTGTTTACACCCACAATCTGAAGGAAGGTAAACTTTACCACACTCCTTTCATGACCTGATAGCTATCTCTCCTGACAGAGTTGCGGTATTTCCAGGACACACCAGGAGGCGCTAACCAATAGAGCTTCCCTGAGTTATGAAGACGCCAAGCACCAAATCAGTGTTGATAGCAGAATAGTTGTATCATTTACAGGATATATACAGATATTTACAGCTTAGTCGTTGCTTCCAGTCCCAAAGTCATGCACAGCAGTTTCCACAGAATTTAGTGCATAAATCAGAGTCAAAGTCCAGTAAATTAGTTCAGCAGTCGTATACCATATGTTCTGTTCAGGTAGCCAGAGTTCTTCTTCAGCACACAGCACGAAGATACGGCCTCCTCCAGGATTCTCCAGTACGGCAACACCAACCTACACCAACACTACACCAACAGATTGTATGTGCTTGGTTAGCTAGCTTTATCCCAAGGCGACGACAGCTCTCCACGAACACCAACACTACACCAACAGATTGTGTGTGCTTGGTTAGCTAGCTTTATCCCAAGGATGACCAATCCTGGGATTGCACTCACAGTTGTTACTATTAACTCAGCTGGATACATTCAAGCTCTGCTTCTCTTTACAGCATTGATTCTTATAAATACTTATTCTATGTTCAAAACTGCATTTAACAATTTCCTCAGGTTTAGCCCAAACCTGTCATCTCCTTCTCACAGGAGGAACTCTTGCTACCAGTTATTTTGAGTTTCCCAAATATAACTGACAGAATATACAGCCAAGCTCATTCAAGTACTGGCTCCAGATGCAAGGACAGAGCCTCTAACAGATCCCCTGATTGCCCTCCCAATCAAAAAGTCTAGCAGAACAATGAGCTGCAGCATCTTTGAACTGCCACTTAAGTTTCAACAGAGCCAAGGAACAAACTAAATCAGAGCAAGGCTTGGAAATGTCCCTTTTTGGATTAATAATGCAAGAATTCACCAGTTAGCTTGGCTAATGGTCAGACTGACTGTATGTTTCTGACTGCTGTAATCTCAAAACTGTACAAAACACTGCATCAGAAGCACTACAAGGAAGTCCAAGCTGCCTAGCATGAGAATTTCACAAGAGTGGTCAGCAGTGGCGGGACCTTCCAAGTTGGAAATCCTGGCATCTGCAGAAGGATGCTCAATCGGTCTGTGTATTTATTATTTAAAATGTCTTGTGTGCTTAGTGAATACAGGTTTCTTAGAACTACAGTGGTGCCTCGCTTAACAAGCACCTTGTTTAACGACGAATCCGCATAGCGATGAGGTTTTTGCAATCGCATTGCGATGTCTTATATGGCAAAACATCACTTTGCGCTGATCAGTAAGCGTTTTGCTTACCAATTTTCACATAGCGATGTTTTAAAAACAGCTGATCAGCGGTTTCAAAATGGCCACCGGGGAAAAAATGGCCGCCCGCAGTGTTTTCGCGCCCTTTCCTCGCTTACCAGGCAGCGAAAATGGCGGCCGGATGGAGGATTTCCGCATAGCGGTGAGTTTTTCCCCCATAGGAATGCATTAAACATGTTTTAATGAGTTCCTATGGGGGTTTCCCCCCGCATAGCAATGAATCCGGATAGAGACGTTTTTTTCAGCACGGATTATCGTCGCTATGCAGGGCACCACTGTACGGGCAAACCAAAACTGACCTCTTTAAGCATTCCATTCTACTATCTCCTACAAAATTTTAAGTCATACAGCACATACTTCTTGTTAATTTATATCCAGTGCAGCAGAAAGTGTGTGACTGCCATTCCCAAATGTGCCTTGATACACAGGAGGAAAACCTCCTGTACGTGAGCCTAAGCTGTTCTGCAAACAGTTCTGTGACGTTTACGTGGCCCCAGCTTGTTTCACCAAACAAAAAGCTCACGCACTATGTCCGCCCACCAGCAGATATTAATTGTGACGTTCCCTCTTTTTCTCACTGCCACCATTGGATTCCCTTTATCCACAATGTAAAATACTTTAATCAGACACTTGTCTGGTTACTGCCAAAAGAACTTATTTATTGAAGTGTATTAAATTAAATCAGAATCACAGATGTTCTTTATTCAGTGCATACAGTCAAATCATCAAAATATCACATATCTTCTCACATACTCAATCACCACCTGCTCTATCTATTAACCTTGACCAGCTTATCTCTATTAGTATATGTTCTCACTATCTCCCTGACTATCTCTCTCACTCTGCAACTTCTATCTCCTCTCTCTGCAACCTTTATCGCTCCCTGCCAAACCTTCTTACGTATATCCACTGACTCCACCCCTCCACTCCTCTCATAGGCTCATGCAAATGAGATCTTGAATATGAGTGACAGGACTTACGTAGGGCGATTGTCACAACTTCCAATATACTTCATGAACAGGCCAGCAGATACCACTTCCTATGTATTCCTCCCTCACCTTCTTGACTGAGAACAGATTGGGGGGTGGGGTGGAAGTGTGGAGAGAAGCACTGTTACCTCACACACTGTTCTGGTGATAAGAGTGGACATTTCTACCTCCAGTCAGGAAGTCCAGTAGTACATGATGGAATTTCCATTTATAGAAATGAGTAGCTCTGCTAGTGGTACCACTCTGATGAGAGAAAAAACAGCAGGATGACCCTTCCCAGAAAAACAATGGGTTGCAAGAACACTCTTGCAACATAAGCTTGAGAGCTACCTTCACCAAAACTCAAGCTTTTTGAGGAAAGAAAATGATCTGAGAGCTACCTTCACCAAAAACTCAAGCTTTTTGAGGAAAGAAAATGTAAGCAAATTGAGTAACAAATCAGAAAAGATATCAAGATATATTTCAAGTGAAAACATAAGGAAGAATGACACAAGTAAACTTACACCCTCTGTGGTGACGGTCATCACACTCCGACTTTTCTTCATGATAGTAATGGTGAGGGAAATGGCTTCTTATATCAAACAATCTTCTCAGTTAGGTTCCTGCCAGAGTGGTGAGCCTAGCAGAAAGAAGGAAGAAAAAATTGGCTGATTGATTTGTCAAACTTTCTACAGTGAAAACATCTGCTTTTATAGGCTGATTTGTCATAAAAATACATTGGTACACTAGAATTTCACATTTTACCGAACACTAGCTTCCCTCTGCCACTCTTGCCTTTGCTGCTTTCATACTCTCAAAAATATCCCCTCACCTCTCTCCAGCCCAGCTCTGATAAGGCAACTGTCTTGCTTACTCATAAAAGTTTAGATTTGTCTGCCCTCCTCTTATGTCAAGAAGGAAATAATGCAGGGAGTTTGTTTTTGTTGCTATGTGGCATCAGGTTGCATTTGACATATGCCAACCATAAGAATTAATGACTTCCAAAAAATCATTATTAACTGCTTTGCTCATGTCTTGTCCGAGTAAAAACCATGGTCATTTCATCTCATGATTACTTTTCTTTCTTTCTTTTCAAAAACTGCCTTCAAATGGTGCCTCGCTTAACGAGCACCCCGTTGTTCATCTCATGATTTCTTTCTTTCTTTTCGAAAACTGTCTTCAAATGGTGGCTCACTTAACGAGCACCCGTTTAACGACAAATCCGGATAGAGATTAGGTTTTTGAGATTGCAAAAGCGATCGCATAACGATGTTTAGTTTTTGAGATTGCAAAAGTGATCACATAACGATGTTTTGAATGGTAAAAAATCGCTTTGTGATGATCGGTAAGCTGTTTCGCTTACCGATTTTCGCATAGCAATTTTTTCCAACAGCTGATTGGAGGTTCCAAAATGGCCACCGGGAAAAAAATAGCTACCCACTCTTTTTTTTGTGACGGATTCCTCGCTTACCGGGCAGCGAAAATGGCTGCCGTATGGAGGATTTTCACTTAAAGGTAAGTTTTGCCCCCATTGGAACACATTGAAGGGGTTTCAATGCGTTTCAATTGGGTTTTTAAAATTGCATAGCGATGTTTTCGGTTAGTGGCGATTTTTGCCGCACCGATTAACATCGCTATGTGAGGCAACACTGTATTGTCTTTTTCAGTGACTCTTGCCTTCTCATGGTATATTCAAATATGTAGCCTCAGTTTAGTTATCTTAATTAGTGAGAGTTCAGGTTTGATTTGACTTACAACCCATTTGTTGGTCTTTCTGGTAGTTTACTATGCACATAAAGTTCAGCACTACATTTTGAATGAATTAATTTTTTTTTCTGTCACCTTTCATCACTGCCCAGCTTTCATATCCATGCACATTCATGTCTCAGCTTTGACCATTCTCCTTGGATGACTCTGTTAAGCCAACTGAGGCAGATATTGGTCTGAGCTTCCCTGGCACACTCAAATCTCCTCACCGTATTAAGGTGTCCATCCAAGCAGGGGTAGGGATTTTGGTGCTTGCTTCTTATGGGGTTTGATATTACTGTATCAAACCCCATAAATAGGATTTTACCTATTTTTTTAAGGCCTCATTCCCCCCCCACCCCAAGAAGCGGTTACCTTGACTAGAGTTTCTTGTTGCAATAGATCATAAAGTTATTTTAATACTTCATAAAACAAGTTGAAATGTTCCTGCAGTTCATATTCATGATAAATACTATGGAATGTTATTTTTAGGCTTCAAGATGATATTACCCTAAGCGCCCAAGATGGGTATTGTGCTGAACAACCTGTGTACAACCTTAACATTATTGCTTTTCTAGACTGAAAAAGCACAGGAATCTAGATAAGTTTTGCAAGCCACTCACTGTGATTTCCCTCATTTAACAGGATATTTTGAATACCATACCATACACTATAACCATTGAACATGGGGCCTCTCATTCACCAAATGATAGCTATAAAATCAGTCAATGGTGTAAAGATCAGTATGAGAAAAGAATACAGTAGGACCCCCATATCCACTGGGGATTGGTTCCAAGCACCCCCAGTGGATACTGAAAACTGCAGGTAATAGTGAATATATTCAAAGCACGTTCTCTGCCTCCCTCTATTGGCCAGTTCTAGTAATACATGTGAAAATAGTTTTTCTACTTTTTTAAAATATTTTTTATATTTTCAGACTCTGGATAAGTGAAACTGTGGATACTGATCTCGCAGATACGGAGATTCCTACTGTATTCTGAAGATGGCTAATCAGAGTGTCTCTATAACATCTGTGTAAAAGTAGAATAGGTCTACTTTTACACAGGGAGGGAGACACCTCTGGCACTCCAAGCAGGCCATCTGATATCAACCAGAAGGCTTACCAAACAAGGAGACCACTGTACATCAAAAGTGCATTGGGACCGGTCAGGCTGCCCAGGGGGAGACAGCTGGAGGGGGTGAGGATGAATATGTGGGGAAGGTGGGAATAAGACATTGTGAGCAGCTGGGGATAATAAAGCTATAGGAGATGGTGATGGAGGGCAGAACTAAAACAGAGTCAGAAGAAGCACATGCTGGGGATTCGACGGAAGAGGAATCCTGAGGCAACACAATGGAAGAGACCATGCTGGCCTTCTTCTACAAGCATGCTCTTTGGAAATACTGCTCAACTAGGGTCCTATTGGACCTGCATGTTCCTAAAGGGACAAGAGAGGTCCACGGTGTGGGGCAGAACTGTCAACAGCTGCTGCCACACCAAGACTGTCACCAAGATCCATCTCTGCCACCCACACAACCAGCCTAGACCTTGACCCTGATGCAGAAAAATCACTAGAGACTGTAGTGACTGTGTCAATGGGTGCATCGGCAGGAGGACTCACCTTCAATCCAAGGCTAGGGGTAGCTAGACACTACAAAACTTCTATGTCGGATGTAGGTGAGTAAGGAGATCTGTGGGGCACTCTTGTCAGCTCTGTGATTTGTGTTCACCCATGCCTCTGTGAAGGCAGCTAGAAGCACTGGAGAAGCCAAATCATCAAGAGGGCTAGTAGCTGGAACTCACTCACACAAGGAATGCACCCATGGGGAGGCCACTGATGGTGCTGGAAGCTTTTCTGTACCCCAGTCCCAGTTCAATAAAAACAAAGTTGCCTCACCCTTCCACCCTGCAGCCCATGGATATACAGACTGAGGTGTTGTTGTCCTCCACCGCAACACTTGGTACGGATGGCAGAGCTCACAGTCTGCCATAGTTTCTGTGCAGTGAGGCTATTCAGTATTCTTAATTTCCTTGTAGTGCAATCACAGAGCTAACTTACAGCCTTTTTATTTTCCTATGGCTTTCAGCTAGAATTTTTGTCTGGAGCCTTGAGACCTAGTTGACTTAAAGCATGTATCTTTTTCTTGATAATTAAAGATAGACAAAGATAATCCATGTTCACTTTTAATTAAATATTATATATTTTAAAAAGATACCCTAGGTATATTTGTGATATTGTGCCAATGAATCATTTAAATGCTTGGATATATTCAAGGTCGCAGCTAAGCATTTAAATAGAGATTTGGGCTGTATCATTCATAATTGCATGTAATAACATCAGACTTGTTTTTCTTTTATGTGAAAGGCAGTAAATGTTACAACGACATCTCTGTTTATCATTTGAGAGGTCTACAGATCTAATCTGGAGTGTGGGCAACAACTCAGAGAGTGTTAGAGAAATACATCTTTAGAGAAATTATTTACCTTACCTGTCCTCTGAGATTCCATAATTACTAAATTTCAAAGGGCACAAGCAGTTTCCAAATTTTCCATACCATGCTTGAGATCATTACAGACATTTAAAGCACTATAAATTTAGTTGTCATTCCATTTAAAAATGTGGTATTTCTAAATTCGTCTTACATAAATTGTTTAAACTGTTTACATTCAGATGGCAGTCCAGTGGTGTCCCTAGACATTTTAAAATCTTTGGTGTCCTTTTCTACCAAGCATTTATCGGCCATTTAATCATGTGATCAAAAACATATTTTGTAAAAAAAAAAACTCTCCCCAATTAGGGACCGGCTTTGTTTTTCAGTCTGGAAAGCTTGTGTCATGTCATCATCAACATCATCATTAATTATTATTAGGCTATTACTTTTTTTTACATTAGAGAGCAGATGTCAAAACTCAGAGCACCATTTTAAGCAGATGACATCACTACCACCTTTATAAGCCTTGATTCTTTTCATCTGGTCTATTAATTCCTGAATTTCAGTTACAGAAATAAACTAAGGCCTCATATATAACCCCAAAACTTAGAAAACAGCATCAATTTACTGACAAAGGAGAAAAACAAATGCTTTCTCTCAAAGGAGAAAAACAAATGCTTTCTCTCGCTCACTCGCTCTCCTTTTTTTTCAAAAGAAAAAGACAGGATTTCTGTTGCTAGAGGTCAGTATTTGGAACAAGAGAGCCAAAAACTCATTACTGTACTTTCCTCCAGTTTAGAAGCTTTTTCATTTATTCTAATAGGGAAAATATATTACTCATACTTGCATTTAAAATAAAATAATTAGCACCTCTAAATTGTGGCCAGCATGTAGTAAAGGACAAACTTGATGTTGTCATAACTCAAGTGGGGATTTTGTTTGAGGCTGATAGATGCAGCACTGTAGATGGGTAAATATAGAGACCGAACAGCCATTAAGTTCTTTTCCTGACTCTAAGAAAGGTAACCAGATTGGTAAAGTAACCACAACAGGATTTTCTTAGAAAAACCACAATCTTGCTACCTTGTTACAGAGACAAATCTGGAGTTCTGAAAGTCTTTCTATATTAGAACACACACACAAGAGAAGTAAAACTTATATGAAAATGATACTGATCAATCACAGGAACAAACCCTTACCATAAAGCAGGGGTGGGCAATTAATTTGCATAGGGGGCCACATGAAAAATCTGAATTGTGTTCGGGGGCCGAACCAACTTTACTTAAAAATAAAATGAAACAGTGATGTTATGATTGTTTTTATTTTAAACTTGTTAATTTTCACAAATACTAAAGAGTTTTTTTGCGGTATGTTAAAGATAAGCAACAGATCAACTTTAGACAAAAGGCTATAAATGGTTTTGATGTTCAAAAGTGTCTGCAGGCCGGACAGGAGCGGCTC